GCCCAGTCAGCAGTTTGGAGAAACCATAGAGATACAGTAAATAGAAGACTGTCATATTCACAGTCTAGATAGTTGTGTTTGCAAGGAAAGAGCTGGTCACTGTGATTCAAGATTCATTTGGCAACAGCTGAAGTTCCAAAGGATATCTACCAGGCTCATTCCATAGGACAGCAGAAAAGACAATGGTGATGCACAACGTACAAAGTGGTTGATATGTGGTCCTGCACTTTGAATATCTTCACTGTTTTCAGCACTCCCCGATTTAAACAAATCTAACAATCTATCTTCAGTCAATTTTAGTTGGAATTTAAAAAAGATATCTAAACTCTGCCTTTAGAACAGAATACAGGTTAGCCAGCAGGGCAGTGAAATAATTATCTTGGCAAATTATATTAAAGTATATGTAAACCCAATACCTATAATCTCATATAAGTTTTAACATGTTTATGTCTTTTTAAAGTCAATTTCAATATTTTTATATCTGCTTTCAATAAAATTATATCTGGTGATCCTGTCATGTAGGTCTCTTTTAAGGCACATCAGTCATACTGTGACAACATTCTGTCCCTGTCTCGTAACTATGCACCTTGCATTGTCACCCTTTCACAAGAGCTTCTGGTGGAGACTATAGGGATCTATTCACTAAGCTGCCGTAGGCAGCCAAGTGACTCACCGACCCCCAGCGAAGTGAACCGAACGCAGGTCCCCCTCTGCTGATTGACAGCAGCAGTGGGCGGGTGCAATAGCTAGTTTGCTATTGGCTATTGCAAATTGAAATAGCCAATAGGAATCTAGCTATGCTTCCCTATGGGGATTTCTTTTTTTTTTTGATGGCAGCAGAACCGCCCGGCCAATAGAAAACAGTTGGGCGGAGCTAGCTGTCACTGCTAGCTCAGCACAATCTTTTTCTATTTTTTTTCTACTTTTTAAACTATTTTTCTGTTCTGCTCGGTCCTAACAAAAAAAAGAAGAAAAAAATGAGCAGGGAAAGGTTTACTCTGCTCGGTCGAGCAGAGTGTACCTTTCTGGGAGAAAGTGTTTGTCTCCCGGACGGCCGGGAGCCTATTAGACTACCAGAGCGTCCGGGGGAGGAATGACAGATGCGTTCCTGGTTACCAGGTAACCAGAAACGACATCTGTCATTACACACTGAGAACACGGAGAGGCCGCTCTCAGTGTGTAATGACAGCGTCCCTGGTTAGCTGGTAAGCAGGGATGCTGATCTCTCTGCAAGTGGCCGGAGCCAGCCATGAGATGACGGCTGGCTCCGCCCATCTGTCAGAAGCAGGCTGTCGGCCGGCCAATGGCCGCGATTCGGCCAGCTTCAGCTTTCAGTGTCGAGCTGAGGCATATGCCTTCGGCTCGACTGAGCCGCTCGGCCAACTTCGGGAGCTGTACGGGCTATAGGGAATAGCCCGTACAGCAACCCTTCGGTTCTACTGAACTGAAGGGGTCCGGGGGCTGAAGCTAGCCGAAGGATCTGCTGAAGCTACGGCTAGATCCTTCGGCAGCTTTGTGAATAGACCCCTATAGGTTGCAATTTCATCACACATTATGCTGGCCACTGTTGTCACAATCAGGAAACCCATCCTGAGATGCCATGAAGACATCCTGACAGTGCATGCATGTAGACTGAAACTGGTTGTACAGAGGCCGCAGGAGATCAGAAGCACTGGGATGCAACAAAAGATGAGAAAGGGTAAAAACAAATATTTTTTTTTTTTTTAAAAAAGACAATTGTTTATGATACACAGTGCTTTAGCAAACTAAAACTCCTTCAGTTCGGGTTTACATCTACTTTAACTGTCTTGTTCCACTAGGACTGTTCAGCCATTTTACCATGTATTGCGTCTAGTATGATTTTGACACACCTATACATCAATAGATCATCATTATATTAACAGAGCATACAATTCACAAATTTCTGAGTTAAATAAACCCTTCAAAAGCCTTTAAAGTATTAGGGAACAAGATAGTATCAGCTGATAATTTTACTGCCAAACCTAACATTTTAACATTTGTTAGAAAGGTAGAGCTATGTTTTAATGTAAATGTGTTGAGTTATTGATAGCTGACACACCAAGTAATTCTCAGAAGTGTGCATGCATTGTATATGAAATGAAGGAATGCTGTGGAACCCTAGATTTAAATGAGTTTAAGTAAAAAATAGGCTAAAGGAAAATATGACATGGACCATAACAACTAACCGGTTGGAGTTTCAAAGTTGCCCTAAAAAAAGAAAAACAAACTGGTTGGTTGTTATAGGTAAACTTTCATGTGCTATTATTCCAGTTTTTACAAATGAGTTCCAATGTCTTGAAGTGCAAACAATGCAAAATGGGACCTTTTTTAATAAAAGTGGAAAGCTTGACAATGCAGTTTGTAGATGATTTACTTAAGAATTTGAAAACTTTCATTTTCCTTCAGTTTATTAGAGTGAAGTTGAGTTCAATAAAAGTGTATGTCAGGCCAAAAACTTGGATTTTACAGATGGAGTGGGAAAGGTTAGAACCTATATCTGAATGCTATGGATACAGCAGGAATGGTTAGAACTTCTATCTGGATTTTACAGATGGAGAAGGAATGGTTACAACCTCTATCTGGATTTTACGGATAGAGTGGGAATGGTTAGAACCTCTATCTGTATTTTATGGATGGAGTAGGAAAGGTTAGAACCTCTATCTGGATTTTACGGCTAGAGTGGGAAAGGTTAGAACCTCAACTTGGATTTTATGGATGGCGTAGGAATGGTTAGAACCTCTATCTGGATTTTACGGATGGAGTGGGAACGGTTAGAACCTCTATCTGGATTTTATGGATGGAATAGGAAAGGTTAGAACCTCTATCTGAATTTTACAAATGGAGTAGGAAAGGTTAGAGCCTTTATCTGAATTTTATAGAGGTTCTAACCTTTCCCACTCTATATGGATTTTACGTATAGAGTGGGAAAGGTTAGCGCCTCTATTTGAATTTTCCAGCAGGAGAGGTAAAGGTTAGAACCTCTATCTGGATTTCAATGCTATCCGGAGTTCAGTTAGAGATATTTTTCTTTCTTTCTGTCCTGCTTATATTTTTCCAGACAGGAAATGGGGAGAACTATCTAAGAGCAACACAGACAGAAGTAAACATGCTTTTTTTAAATTAAAGTAGGGGAAGGCTAGGACCCCTGTCAGATTTTTATTTCTGTTTGTGTATGGTAGATATTCTCTCATTTCCTGTCTGGTTGAACCTTGTCAGCAGAACAGGAAGTGAGAAAAAATCTCTCTTTTGGAGACCTGGATAGCAGTGGAAACTTGAATGGAATTCTAATCTTCCCCCTTTTTGGCTTGACATACACTTTAAAAAATCCAATTAAAAATTATTTTTTAACTTCTCCTTTCATGTAAAAGAAATTCAAAGTAAACATAGTTTCTCCTTGTTCACAACATGTTCTTTGTTAAAGTGTATCTAATGCCAAAACTTTTCTCTTTTGTTTTGGATAGATTGGTGAGGGATTAAAGCCTCTGTCAGATTAATTTAGCGGTCTTTGTCCCCACCAGGGAGATTTCTTGTCTTTATTGTTCAGGTGACCGTTATCACCAGAATAGAAACTGAGGGAAATTCCCAAATCTTTAGTTGTCACTAGAACAGGAGTAAAAGGGAAGTCCTCCTGTGTGGACACTTGTTCCAGTTACAACTATCTAAATTGGGATTACCTTCATGTTAAAGAAAGGAAAATGCCCCCAATGGGAGACAGATGGCAAACCAAAAACCCTATGGTACCCAATTAACTTCCATTTGAAATGTAGAGCAAAGCAATCAATAAAAATTATTTGTCACTGGCTGCTGCAGATTGCTGTTCTTTACCTTATCAAAGTGTCTCCGGCATGATTGTCCTTTCCTGTAGAAGAATCCTCTTCAGCTACAACTGTCCCACAGCAGCAGCCCCTTTCTAACCACTGGGCTTCATAACAGGTCCAGGCCAGTCACATTACCAAGATATTGAGGTGGATCATCTTTGCTACCTTAAAACTAATATGTGGCCCAGGAGTTGAAAAGTGGCAGCTGTTGTAGAAGGAAAGAAAGTAATTCCTCAGTCTGTACATTGTTTGTGAAAGAGTTCAAAGTGTAAGTCCAGAATTGTTTTTATAGTTTCGGACAGAGTGGCAAATGGTTAGAGCCCATGTTGGGGTTTTACTGCTATCTGCAGTTCATTTACAGAGATTCTGCCTCACTTACTGTACCAATAGGAATGGTTTGACCAGACAGGAAGTGAGGACAAATCTTTCCAGCAGAGAGCCAGATGTGTAACTATTGATGAGAGGACAACATAGCAAAATTATTAAGGGGCCCATTGCTCTCTACCTTCCATCCTCAAGGCAATCCTTCTTGCAATACAATCCTTTTTGTCTTCGTATCAACCTTACAGAGGTTCCAGAATTGTAGGTATATTCAGTTTATCCAAATGTATTTTCCAAAAGCTATAACAATCTGTACAAATTATTATGTAGATAGACATTGTTGAGCCCCTAGTACTGCTGGGCCCCATAGCGATTGCATGGTTTGCTATTGCTATAGCTATGCCCTAGCAGACCGCAATGAAATCATGCAAATGTTTTTGGGATTTTTCCCTTAGCATGTTTAGTAAAACTGTTATCACGATAAATAAAATAAATAATTGTTAGGACAATAAATAGCAGTAAAACCCAAGGCAGGTTCAAATCCTTCCCCAATCTAAACTAAAAAAATAAAAAATATTTGGCTGGACATGCACATTAAATAAAGACCAATACGCACCATTTTCATCTGTAGCGCTAACTAGTCTATATTTAAAGTGAAAGTACCAACTATAGTTTCAGCCAAATATTCCTTATAAAGGTAATAAAACAAGTCTTGTCTTTGCCACTGTGCACCATTTCTTTTTTGCTGAGTCATAATGTCTGCCAACTTACAGTTTGCTATTTACAGTCAGTGATGCTCCAATGGTATACACTGTACACAGACACAAACCTTACTATATCTTACCATACAAACATTTTTTTAATTGTGTAGTTACAGTCAATAACCACTTCTAGTCAGAACATCTTTGCATAAAGAAAAACTGTGATACATTTATAAAAACAGCCAGCCGTAACAAAATAACTGGTGTTTTCATAGGCATAAACTCAATAAAAAAAGAAATACACCTTTATACAGAAACTTTGTACAGATGTAGCTTGAAAATTGATTGTAAACCAAGGGAAGACACATTGCACACATCAATTATTTCTTTTCACATTAATTGCATAAGTTTCTAAGGTGATCTATTGTTTTATTTACCTAAGCTTGTTTGCATGATAGTAAAAATTGCATACCACAATAAGAGTGAAGCTTATAGTATGAATTGCTTGAATAACATAGAGCACTTTTTATAGGCAACTCTGTAAAGCACATTTTTCTCTATTTAAAACTTTTAAGACACTTTGTTTTACTGCCCATCAAAATACATATATAAATAGAAAACAAAAATCAGTATGATAACAAAAGGTAAGCAATATTACAACGAAAATAAAAATAAAAACAGTCCCCCCAAAAATAATTACAACATGAGGATGCAGAATCTACAGATAATGGGACCAAACAATCACATATTATTCTTTCTGTAAGCAAGAAAAAAAAATGTAAAGAAAATGAAAAAAAATTTAAATAAAACTACAGTGACCTTTATTTCTAAAAAAGAAAACAAAAAAGTCTTAATTTACGGCAGTGCCATATAACACAAGGCATTTGTTGGCGTTATCAATTTAAACTGCATCCAACAGCACAGAGCTCTTCTGTACCCTATGACTGTGCAAGAGTAACATACTCTCCTATTTATATATAAGCGTGACTCTCTGAAGATCAAGTGTGTGTACAGGAACAGGAAAACAGAAAAGAAAAAACCATTGAAGGTTTCTATGCTTCTTTCAAGGCTCCAGCTTTCAATCTGCCTGCACTAAGCATCATGCTCGTCAAGTATGTTGTGGTTTATCCAGTGAACATCGACTTGTCCATTGTCTCTTCTGGAGCTAAGAAAAGTTTATAGATACAATAAAACATTTAAATATTGTCTGCATCATATCCTTTGTCTTTTTTTTGTGCAAGTTCTTTTTCTCTTCCACTATTTATTGGCTGCACAATGTACAATAATGTGGTACGGACAGTATATCGGATGGAATTGGAATTAATAATGCCAGTAGAACATTGGGATAAAATAATAATACTTTATGACAAGTCATTCAGCTCTGCAGTGATGTCTGTGTTTCTTTCTCCAGTTAAATTATCTTCAAGCTTAACAGAAAACAGTGTACTAGTACTTTTTTCCAGGGTTTCCCCGTCCATATCCTTGATCATTTCCTCGTCTTCATAATCAGCAACATCTACCTCTAAACCAGAATTGTCTTTCAGCTTTCCATGGTGTTTCAAATAGTAACGCTGATTCTGGAAAAACTTGATAATTGTATATTTGGGCAGGTCGAGCTGAGCCGACAAAGTTTGGATGGCTTCTTCGTCTGGATACAGACCGACATCTTGAATGAAGCTCTGTAAGATTCCTAGGGCCTCCAATGAGATTTTTGTTCTGGGACGGGACTGTTGGCGGTTTTCTTCCTCCGATTCCGCTGGAGATGCCACGGTGGGCTGTCTGGGTGGAAGTCTAGGGCCTGGTGGCTGAGGTGGTGGAGGCTGCTGCTGTGGTTGTGGCTGCTGCTGCTGTTGTTGTTGCTGCTGCTGCTGTTGTTGTTGCTGCTGCTGAAAATACAATTAATATTTCTTAAAGGTGAATTACAAATGAACATACGAAGTCATTAAAGATAGACTTCAAAAATGTAGATTATTTGAACAGCGATCTTTCATAATGCATGATACAAGGAGAGGAAACCTTTTGGTGCATGGTCAAATGATCAACACTGAGGGGGAAGTTTAGTCGTGTATAGCCACTCATTTATATCTTCTGTCAGAACATCACTCGCCCAAGCCTAACCAAGTAGAGACCATGTGATTAATGCCTTGGCACTAGCTACATGGCTAGGCACTGAAGAGCCACCAAATGACCTTCGATAACATTTTTCAGGTAAAGCTACTCATTTACTGTCTATACATTACTCCCCCTTAAGCAAAGGCCATGTGATCAATGTCTTGACAATACCTACATGACCAGGTGCTGCAGAGGTAATGAATGTACTTTTGTACTTTTCCATTCTCATCAAACTGCATTACATAGGGTAATTATTAAAACAAATGTACTGTCCTTTTAATATCACTTTGTTTTTGAAAAGTATCGAACAAAGATGATGTGTGCAGGGAACTGTATATAAAGATAGGTGTAAATATATTTATAGTTTTTTTATAGACATAAACTATACACATAGATGTATGATCTTTGTTGGATACAAAAACAAGGAGGTTGCTAGACTAGCAAAAGAGAAGCCAACTTGATATTCATACCCATGGTTTTGAAATGGGACACTTAATCATAGAGCTGTGATGGTCAGGTGTCCACACGCTTTTGGCCATATCGTGTAGATCTGTTTAGAGGTATACTGTACATCTGCATTTTTTATTAAAACCTGATTACACATACTAACCTGAATCTGCTCTGTGGACACATGGATCATATGGGATGGCCGATCGCTATGCTGATGAACTGCATTGCTCTCTTGTTCATAAATTACATCTCTTTCTGTTTGGGGAAGACTCAGAAACCTGCGAATCATGGAGAGGTTCTCCCAAAGAGTCCTGTTTTCTGGCGATGGATCTTCTTTCCACCTCAGTAATTCACACAACCAGCCCTATAATAACAACATGCAAGAAAAAAATACACTTTCAGCACACTAACAGCAGTTTTATAATAAGAAGTATAGTAACAGACATACATATTACTTTTGTTACACAGATACCGACCATTTATATAAGAGTTACATACAAAGACCATCTCTTAATGAATGGTTAGAAATGATCCCATCACACTCCTTACTGGAATCCCATTCACAATGCTTCAGTGGGTGCGTATGTGGTCCCTTCATCAGGCAAAGGAAAGTGTGACCCGTCACACTTTCCTTTTGCCTGAAGAAGGGACCATATACGGTTCCGAAACGTTGCATCTATATGTGATACCATGTTTATCTGACCTTAATAAATTACAGGAAGATAAAGTGGACTCTGGTGTGCTGGTGGCTTATTCTTCTACATCTCCTAATGAAGACGCATGGCTGTATAATGCAAAGAACTCATACAACTATACAGTTATGTTATAGCTGGTTTTCTTAAACGCTAACCCCCACCAAAAACTGTTATTCCAAATTTTAAGTATATCTAGAAAGACAAAACTTATTAGCTTTGGATAGAGCGGGTATTGCTGTTTTGTTCTATCGCTGGGAAGATCCAGCCTTTCTATTTGTCCTTAGTGACCATTGTCATTAAATTGAAACTGAGGGAATATACATTTTTAGTTTCACAGAAACAGAAGGGAAATCTTCCAACAGGGACACTTGTTGCAGTGACAACTGTCTAAGGGAGAATTTCACCTTAATTTGGAAAGATTTCCTCCCATTTCCTGAAGTATCTTCAGGACAGGAGGTATAAGTGTCCCCAATGGGATAGCAGAAAAACCTAACAGGTATTTTAACCTTTGCTTACTCTATCCAAAACTAAAAAAAAAGTTTTGGTTTCCGATATTCATTAACTGGGCACCAACATGTTGCATTACCCACTAGCTACATCTATGTCTCCCCCTGTAACATTGGAGGAAAGCGAAAGATACATTATAATGGTATTGCCCTTGGAAGGTGGAACTCTGTCCCTCATATCATATCTAAAGAAAATATATGAAATAGTCAAGTGATAGAGCATTCCTTCTTCCTTAGTATCCATCAACTGTTACATGGGCACCTCATCATGTATAAAAAACGCTACAGTGTTTATAGCTCACTACAGAAATGTTGTTTTCAGCAACAGTTTCTTTTTTCTTAAACCTAAACCTGCTACAGAATAGAATATTTATGTACATTTTGATATTGTAAAAGCTGGAAAATGCAAATGATGACATTTTATTCTGTCCACTGGGAGAAACTCGATTATTTATGAAAATTAAATGTTTAATATGGTATGGTATAAACTAAATAGTATTCAGTAATTTAAAAAAAAAAAAGATCAAGTGTGAGCTTAGAAGAGTTTACAGTGGAGGATGTAAAATAAATATATTGAGACATATGTATATTTCCATCACAAAAATATATGTATATCCAGACAGAGAGGCAGACAGGGAGTCTGTTAACATATGAGCCAATGCCAGCTTCTGCAGGTTCTAATGTAGGATATTTGTTCACCACCTGGAACAGTATCCAGTAGGAGTGGATTACATTTAATAATGTAAAGTAATAATGGTATTCAAAGATGAACTCCTGGCAAACAGCTAAATACACAGATGAAATACATATATGTGAGTTATTTTACCAGTCAAAGGATTGCATGGATTCTTTAGAATTACACAACCTTGCTACACTGCACAGCCCTGTCTGGTAAAACAGAAGACCTGATTCTTCCCTACTGCAGTTAAAAATGAACTAAAATCTGAAAGCTGTATGCCTAAAAAGGCAGACAGAGGGCAAAGGACTGGTCAGCAGTGTTGCCTGTGGTCTCCCTGCAGTTGATCCTTGCCCATTAATGAGGTGGCCATCTTGGAAGAGGCAGGACTTTTCTTCCTTATATTAGAGCCTCCAGCAAGAACAGTGAACAGCACAGTAGTGACATCACCAAATGTCACACCAAATTCCTTGAGACTAGCAGTCAGAGGCAGCAGTGCCTAAGATCTAACACTGGAGATATACAATTATGAGGCGGCAGACACAGGAATGTCTAGGCACCCTCATATACCAGGATGGGAGGAGGAATTAAAAATGTACATTTTTCAAGGTACTGCTTGGACATAATTAACAATTCTAAATATTTCCATTAACAGAGCACATGTGTTCAGGTTTCCTTTATGTAACATTTACAGGCCTTGCCCTTTCCCAGTCTATGACCAGATAGTAAATTAGAAGCAGTACACCACTCCCTGTTAGCACCTGGGCATTGCAGCTAAACTGATTGGATCCTTGTGTTGCTTCTCCCTTGCCCAGTCTGAGCTCTGCTGTACAGTGGATTGCAAGAGGTTAATATTACGACAAATTCAGGTACTTACACTGTTAGCATTCCTTTAGCAAAATGATTAATGAATACAAAGCTGCATTCACGAAAAAAAAAAAAAAATCTGCCTAGAGTTCAGGTTTAATCCATCCAATCCATATGTCTTTTCAATATTGTTGGAGTTAGTACATTTTGGTAAAGACTGTTTTACATAACAATCTGCATCTGAAGCACATGCTACCAGGGTTTGCCCTTTTTTTCTGTCTGAACTAAAGCTACAAGAGGGTAATTGGGGGCTTGAGCATCAACTTACCTAAGTGAAAGTAAACTCAAGTGTTAAATCTTAAAAATGCATTCAAGTACACTATGAACAAAAATTTATCTTATTTACAATATTACGTTTAGTTTACTAATGTGTATTGAGATTGTAGTCCATCACATGATTGAGCTTGGAGTGGTAACTACTTTACAACACACACAGGGACCATGGGGAACAAAAGTAGGCACTCTCCAGAAGGAAGGACAGTGGCAGCACCAATTCAGAGATGATTTGAGGATCTACAGCTGAGTGATATACAAAGGATATTCAAGGATACTTGAACGCATTTTTAAGGTTTAACTCCTGAGTTAAGTGTCACTTTAATTTTGCAAATTGTTACTTTATAAAAAAGTTGCAACTTTTGAACTCAACAAGAATTTGTATCTTCTTTATCTGCAGTAATTTGCAAAACATCTACTGCTAAACTGGAAAATCACTTGTGCTTGGTTTTTACAAACCGATTTTTCCAACACAGATCTCCTGAAATGCACCAATTTTCCTAGCCATGGGCCAAAACCTCTCCTCCCACATCCAAAACTCTCTATTGGATAGTGAGCCCACCCATCATAGCCGAAGGTCGGCTCACTAACAAACAGGCACCAGGAACTGACCACCACACTATATATTACAAAGGCTCATGGTATACTTCACTGTAATTGCAAAAATTATGAAGAAGTATCCTCTCTACTGGAAAATGCATCTAGATAACATACTTTAAAATGCATGCAAAAACACATTGATGTATCAAAAATACAGTGTGATGCATGATAAAGGGTAGAAAAGCATGCTTCAAAGTGCAGAAATGTGAACTGACTCTTACACAACCAAAAAAAGACCAATTTGGTTTTGAAAACTAAAAGGCAATGTATACAGCAGATTGTAAAAACTTCAGCAGACACAGAGGTTAAAAACATACTACAGAAAGTATAGGAAATGAACACAAGTAAATATATTATTTGAATTGCCAGGATGTTGCTAATTTTCAGATCAACAATGTCTAATTTGACATCTTCTGTTCTAAGCACCCACTTTCTGCTCAGTATTCTGCCTTTAGCAGCAGCCAGTAACCTTGCCTGCCACCTACTTTAATTGTTGGCATGAACTGCCTATGAACTGAAAATGCCATGCAGATGAATGCTGGGCTCTGTTCAAACCTGCTACATACAACACAAATCCTGCAAAGTTATGTATTATAAAGCAAAATTTATCGAGGAATAAAGGTCTCAAATCCATCTGCCACACAAGAAATACTGTTATGCACTGCACTGTAACAGTATACCATCTGCAGGCGTCTTGCAACAGTAAGCAAGAATATGCTGAAAATAATTTTACTGTCATTTTATTTATATATATGAGTGTCACAACTTGTTTTTCCTTGGGAGTTTAACTTTAACTTATATGTAAATCATACGTTTTAAATGAAAGAAAAGGCAAATATCTGGCTATAAATCTGTAAACAGTGAAACATTTGATTTGGTTTAACAGGACAAACAGTGTTTGCACAAGCTCTTAATTACACTGCGGCCACTCCTAGGTTTATATACTTTTTGCTGGTTCTATAAGCTTCTAATGATTCCTTTACAAATCACACAGGTTTATGGACATGGGTGGAGTTGGTATTAACATATTTGAAGGTTAATTATTAATGTAGGAGTAGTTAATATTGTTAAACACATGTTTGAAACATTGTTAATGTACAGGCGGGTTATAAACATTAGGAAACAATGCCTATAAAGAACGCCATGACCAGAATAAAAAAAAAAAGAGGTGAACATGTCAAAGAAATAGGTTTCTGTAAGGTTAGGTTTACATGGGCGGCAAATGGATGGTAAAAAAGGTGGTGGAGACAAATTTTTACAGCCCTTCTACACACCAACATGGCAGCTGATCTGGACTGCCAACACTGCAGCAACTGCAAAGCTTTGCGGCATTCCATGTTTAACAGGCAGCACCACCTGCCAAATGTGGCCACTGAAGTCAATGGAACTGCGCCGTAACTGCATGCATGGTATTTCAATGTAAATTACCCCTTAGGATGAGAAAAAAAAAATCAATCAGGATGCAAAAGTATCGCATCCTGAATGCCTGCAAAATTTTCTCTCAACCACCCCTAAAAAGCAATCCACCCTGTATCTATTTTCAGGGGGATGGTCAACCCTGTCACTTTTGTGAACAAGGCCTAATGGACAAGGGTCCGGGGGCTGTTTTCTTTATTGTGTATGGAGTTTGTTTGTGATGTTTAACATACACCATTGTAAAATGATGGTACTTTATGTATAAATAGATAACAATAACAATTAATAATATGACTGCACCCTGCATGCAGCTTTAAGACTGCAGCCTGGC